TTGTAGGGATGTGTAAAAGTGCAAATGAAGAACATGGGAGAGAATTACCAATGATGAATGGAATCAAAGAAGATATCAAATCCATTGGAGTTTTGGACTCTGGAATTTGTTCAGAAGCACTTTATAGTCTTGCTTCTCGTTTCATATCATTGAAGGTAAGACCAAAAAAAAAAGAAGAACAATCTTGTTCACTTTTTTTGTGTTCTTGTAATGAATGAAATGAGACATTGTTAAAAACTTGGTAACACAGGTGATGTGTAAAGCACATTTTGAAGAGGAAGAGAAAGATTTATTGCCAATGGTGGAAGCTGCAGAAATGGGGAAAGAGAAGCAGAAGAAATTATTGAATCAAAGCTTAGAAGTTATGAGAGAGACTCATTCGCGTACGTTTGATTTCCTACTTGAAGGACTCACTCCTCAAGAAGCTATGCAGTATCTTGATTTGCTCATGAAATTTGGTGATCAAGATCTTATCTCATCTTTTCTCACCTCCTCAAACATTGTTGACTGATCTTTTTTTCTTTTTCTAGTTCACTTTGTGAAAAACTGTTGTTGTGTTTGGTGTGTAAATAGAGTCAAGATTATCAATCAGGTACTTTGTTCCTCAAACAAAAATGGTTATAAGAAGTTGGAGAGAGGTTTCTAGGTTATAAATGGCTACGAGCATTTACGTTTTCAGCAAATGGTACTTCGATTCTTCTAACCAGAACATATACAAGTAGTTTATATTGCGACAAAATAAAAAAACTGATATTAGTGAAGCAATCATGAATACTAGGTTTTTGATTCAGGTTGGTTTTGAGAGATTTGTCAGTTCCTAATGAGTAATGCTTTCTTCTTTTTACCTGTTTTGTGCCTTTGAGCACCGACAAAAACAAGGTAACAGTTAAAGTAGAAGACGAAAAACAGAAGCTCACTATAAAAAGCTGAAAAAAAGAGGAATGAGAAAAGTTTGGTTAAAAAAAGTGTATTTACACGATTTCAGAATCACTACAAAAACTACTTTGACTGGTCGTATTGCCAAAACTATCGACTCGATGTCTCTTCCAACCTCCAACAACACCTCTTTTTCTAGTTTTTCTCCTTTTTATATAATTAAGAATAGTTTCTTCTTTCTGAATCTAAAAGATTGATAACAAAACAAAATGTAGAAGAACAAGGAGAGAACAATAGAGAGAGTGGATGTAACCTTTTTTTTTGTGTTTGGAACGTCAAAAATTTGTTGGAGTTGTTCTGAATCGAGCTGAATAAATATGTACACAGATTCTTGGTTTTTTTTGCCCATTACCCGTTGAGTTTAGCTAAGAACTGGCTAAGATTGTATTCTTCTGTGTACTGTGATTGATCCCACAGTTCCTCTAAGTTACCTAGAATTGCCTTGAGTCCTTTTCCGGTTCCAGTAGCCTGCTCATTATCCTCTGATCCCTTCTTCGAAGACGTACCACCCTACAACAATACCGTTTATTGAGGATGCAGATATGGCTTTTTAATTGAAGAGACACTTGTAATCAATACAGATTATTTTATATACCTTTTTCGAAGTTTCAGCTGAAGCAAACAAGTCAAGCAACTGATCAGTGTTCATTGTCTTCATACTTGCATTCTCAGCATTGATTACCGTATTGGCAACCGACACTTTGAATCTTTGGAGACTCATCACTTTTTCTTCAAGTGTGCCACGCATTATGAGACGGTGTACATTTACAACTCTCTTCTGTCCTAATCTATGCGCTCTGTCCATCGCCTGCCACATTTCGTTCACCTCTAAATTAGCAAACCCCAGTAATAATAATAATAATCCATCTAAGTGTGTGCATGATACTCTTTTAAGTTCTTCCAATAGAAAGAGAATCCGACCAATTACATGGACGAAAGCCAAAGAAAAATCAAAACCATCTACCTGATGATCACGCATTGGATTCCAATCATGCTCCATAAATACAAGTGTGTCAGCAGATGTCAGGTTCAATCCAAGCCCACCAACTGAAGGAGCAAAACGATATTATTTCAGTTAAATTGGTTACGATATCTACTCACAATAGCAGAACTTCATTGTTGAGTGGAGAAAGCATACCATGTGTTGTCAGGAGCAGAACATCAATTGTAGGATCTGAATTAAAAGCCTTCACAATCTCAAACCTTTTCTCTGGTACAACTGAACCATCCAGTCGCATATATGTGACACTGCTTTCAATAATAAGGCAAAAACAATGTAACCAACAAATTCAAGAAGCCAGTTTTAAGGATATATAATTAAGAGAGGAACATGGGAAACACAGCAAACAAGTTGAGGACAAATCAAAATAAACGAAGAAGGCTCATCATTTCAAGTCTTTTCAAGTGAGAAATTAGGAGACCACTTCCGCAGTATATAGTCCAATAGAACTAGATTATGACATTAGAAAGAGTAAATTCACAACTCACCTTTTCATGTGGGCTTGAAACAAGTCCTTTTCAATGATGTCCAGCAAAGCCTGCATAGATTAACATGGTTAGATCTTGGACAATCTTGCAAGGAAACAAGGAAACAAACATAAAGGAAAAATGGAAGAAACTAGAGATGTAAGATAATCTATATGTAATTACTTTGTGCTGCGCAAATATCAGAACTCTGTGCTGGCCTACGCTAAGAGTGCCATCAGAGCTAGAAGCATCAGAACCTATTCCACATTCTTCCAAAATTTCCTGAAGAGCAACAAGTTTTGGAGAGTGTTGAACTTTATGAAGCTCAGTGATAATGTCCGAGCATCCATTTATCATTGCTGACAAATCAGAAGCCACAGCCTCTGTAACCTTTTCGCCAAGAACAAGAAGCGGATGACTGCAGAGTTTAAGCAGGTACTGCAGTGCCTGGAAAATTAAAAACCCAAACATAAATCAGGTCCCGCCATACTGTATATGTGATTGGTGGGGATGAATATAAATATTGTTGTTGCCTTCAATCCAGAAAACAATATTATACCTGGAAAACGTGTGTGGATGCTTTTGCTGGTGCAACATCCGCATTGCCAGAATCTGCTGATCCATCAACTTTTATAATAGTAGATATTTCTTGCTTAGCATGTGAACCAGAAAATTGATCATAAAGCTTCAACTGGATAGGACTAAGGTCACAGTATCTGTCCTGAATGATTTTTTCTGGCAAATCAGAGAGGACTTCCTCTTTCGTACGCCGCAGTAAGAATGGCATAACCTACGTGATACAACAGGTAGCGTGTTACGATAAAGTTATCAATAATTGCAACAACGAAAAATAAAATAAAAGGCCAGAAAAGATGAACTCCAGAAGCAGCATTACCTGCTTATGGAGTGCTTCCATAGCCAGTACACCAGCTTCAGCATCCTTAGCAGAGCATTTAGGATCTCTAGCTGCCAGCAATGGTTTTCCATAAGATGCTTGAAACTGCCCAATAAAGAACACATATCTCGTTTACTAGTGACAACAAAGAATATCCAAAAATACTTCTTCAAAGTACAACTTTAAAAAATGACCCTGAAAATTGGTAATTTTGTAACATAAAAGCAGGGAATATTTATACAAGCGTTACCTGTCTTTCTGTCCCGAGAAATCCAGGCATCAAAAAATCGAAAAGGGACCACAGCTCCATGATATTATTCTGCAAAAAGGAAACAATATCACTAAGAGATAAAAGCACTTGTATTAAAATTTCTGGGAAGTTCAGCACTCTTATGTAACCTGTATTGGCGTTCCACTAAGGATAAGCCGGTGCTGAGCCTTCAATTGTTTCACTGCTGAAGTAATTTTAGATTTAGCATTCTTAATAATGTGCCCCTCATCCAGAATACAATAGTTCCATGAGAAATGTGTTAGATAGTCAGCATCCTTGCGGACCACATCATAAGATGTTATAATGACATTGTGATTGTTGAACTGTTCACGGAGAGAATTGCGGTCTTGAGCAGAGCCAACATACTGCAGCACGCTTAGCAAAGAAAGGTCGATATACTTCTCAATTTCAAATGCCCAATGGCCAACCAGTGTTGAAGGGCAAACAATTATAGATGGAAAAACATCTGGTTCATCTGTTGAACTGCGACGCTCTGCTGCATCAGACGCCACAATTGCAGATGCTTGAAGCGTCTTACCAAGCCCCATATCATCGCAGAGAATTCCATGGAGCTTAAAACGTTTCAGGAATCCTAGCCAATTGATTCCTTCTTGTTGATACCTGAAATGAGAAAACTGATAAATATTCGAGAATGGTATCAAAAGCAATGAAATGCGTATAATCCTATCAATCAAAGACTGCTAAGCAAAAGACCAATTTTCCTAAATTGTACCCTGCTTAAACCAATAATAGGTACAATGTCCTACCATTGCTCACAAACCAAACCGTTAATTCTGTATAGATGCAACTGAGAGAACCAAGGCAAAAAACGGAAACAGCCTTCCTTTAATCTAGACTATGAGAATTACCTTCTCAATGAAACTTTTAACTCAGTGCAAAGCTTGTAATCATCTATATGGGAGTTGTCAAGTAACTGCTCCAAGAATTTTGCATCCTCTGCATTGCTGGATAGATCTTTGCTCAACCCTACAGGTGGGGGAACCCCACGTGCTAATGGAAGCATAGGTACAAGGGCAGCAAAGCTACGTGTCACACTCTGCCTGACTGAACTGTCAACATCGCTCATGCATCTCAAGAGGGGAACAACCAATAAAGGAGAATATGGAACCANNNCTACACCCAGCCCTTGAACAAGCAAACCAATAAGCATTCCTGCGCCTTGTCTGGCATTAATGCATGTCAAATCTTCCAACATTGGAATAGCATTTTCCACTACTGCTGCCATGACATTTGTTGTCATTGATTTAGCCATTGTCATAACACATCTAGAAGCAGCCAATCTAACAGCCACATGGGAGTGGCGAACACATTTGAAAATACAAGGCAGGAGACTGAGTAGTCTAGGTTTCAGTGTTTCTTCCATCACTGGTGCTATTGAACGTACCACCTGGAAAACGGATAAATTATNAAGACATTAAATTAAGGCTCAAATAACTCAAGCANAANATCACCTACTGGGATTGCTATGTGAGCTATGTTCAAACATTTCCAAGCAGCAACCTGTAAAAGGCACTTCTATAACAAACAAATGCCCTTCTTTGTGAAAGTATTACAGAAAGAAACTATGCGTTTCCAGCTTCAGAGCTGAATGGGACTCTTTAAAAAGCACATCAACCTATTCAAGAGTAAGCTTTACTTTGTATGTTTCAGGAATGTAAAATAGCCAATCTTTTAGCTATTACGTTGAAATAGCTAAGAAATCAAATATTACCAAGTGACGAAACTCTTTAACTAGTGAGTTTGCTATGCAAGACGGTTCTCATACATTTCCAATGTTCATCCTATCAATGGCAGTATATAAACACAGTTTCTAAGACTGCCAGTTTCTGAAAAGAGTTTTCCTAACATGCAAATCAGAATTACTCGTCACACGATTTTATTAACCGCACTCAAAGACAAACTTGACCATGCAAAAATACTT